ACAATATTGAAGCTATGTGGTCGAGGCTGGATGGATGATTTCCTCTACTGCATGCATTACGATTTTAGAACTTCTGAACCACGTATAAGAAGTGTATTCATTTTATTTCCTTGGTTTTGTATGACATATTTTTACTCTATACTGACTGTTTTTTGATTGGCTAATATTTCTCAAGATTACTTAAGATTCGTTCAAAGGTCGTCCATAAATTACAGTCTCGTCGATTATTATCATTACATGTATATTTTTGGTAAGATAACAATCTAATGTTATGAATGGTTCATATTCCATAGCTAATTTTTCTAATTTCATATAATTTACACCCAAACATGTAGTTAAGTGTGTTTCTAGCAGAAAAAACAATAACTTGACTACCCAAGTCATTGAAAACAATCCAGAATCCCAAAGTGTAAAAAGCAACTGCGCTTGCTACCCCAACAACAGTTTATGAATGGGCACAAATTATTATTATTATTACTATCATAAAATTGTCCAAATTCATAGAAACCATTGAATAATATAAAATAAATTAATCTTATTTCTTCTATATTATTATTACTATTATCATTATGGATTGGTAGTTTTTTTGGTATCTGTATAAAACAAACACGATTTTGTTGGATATGGATATTACCACAATATTTGTAGTGTGTTAAATTATGGAATGATTTTGATGTAATACGTAGTAAACTGAATGTTTGATCATGAAAATATTCTGACCGATTTATTTCTTCTTCAATATATTTTTGCAATTGTATTAATTGATTATATTGTGATTACAGATTTATTCATTTGTTCTATAAATGGTAAATTTAATCTAGACCATGTATTTGTATAAGCATTAATATAATCTATATGGTACCATATAAAATTTAAAGGATATTTATTATTATTTAATGATTGACATACATAAGTACCAGAATCATGATATGGATCAATCTTTTTTATAAATTAATTCATTTGTTCTATTTATTAAACATGGATCATTTATGAGTGTATTAGTTAGAACTGGTTCAAGTAAATCTCTATTCAATATCCATTTATGATCATAGAATGTTTTATTATTTAAATGAAATATTGTTTGATTATATTTTTTACGTGGAATACGATACCATTGAAAATGTATTGGATTATCATTTGAACATAAATGACAAGTAAATTGTAAATTCATTGTAAATTGATTACGTTTAATTAACTTAATAATATGACGTTGTTTAGCTAAATTTAATTGTAATGCATAACATTTATTTAATTCATCATTATTATTGTATATAGTTAGTCAGCTATAACGTAGGACCAGGCACATTTATGCATCGGTCCAAGTTGCCATACCTCATTAACACAACAGGATGGACACCGGATTCATAAAAGTAGCTAATTCAGAGGTGGTAATATATAAAAGAAAGATTGCAATAAGGATATAGTACAGCAAGAAAGAATTCGTTCGTAGAAAGAAAGATATGTAGCAATTTTAATCACTTAGTTTAGGGGAAGATAGAGAGTGTATACAGCGACGCCATTGTAGTCGATTCTGAGCCATTTCACGCTCCCAGGTCACTAAGACCACCTCTAATCCAATTTCCTTTTCAGGTACCTCTAGAAGAACCCTTCCACGGTGTGGGCAACCGGGAAGTGATAACCGCCCTCATACCTCTAACAGCACTCAAGACCACTGTATTCCTAATCAACCTCCGTCTTCATTTCCTATTACTCCTATTATTGTATATAACAGTTTTATTACTTGGGCAAACGTTTAAATGGCTGGAAATTGGAATAAAATTAAATAAAAATGAAAATACTACTACTAATAATAAGAGTAGCATAACTGAAGTAAAATACATGCAACTTATAGTAAATGTAAATAACTAAGTTAAATTCTTATTATGACCTTGTGTTTTTAGGAATCATCGATTATATTGTGAATTGATCAAATATAATATCTTACTTTATAATGAACGAAATAGAGCTGAAGACATCGCATTCATACTAACATGCTGGATTTGTTTTCTTTTTCCAGCGAAACAGTTATTAATTACATTCAAACGTAACCTCAAAAACGGAACAAATTTCACATAAAACATGATATTTTAAGACAACAAGTTCAAGAGATACAACCAGTACTATATTTTAAATAATCTAACCAATACACTGTTATACCTAGAGCTCACATTCTTAATATACCGCGTACAACTTCAGCACTCGAACGCTAGAACCCTCGAAGTCGCGAGTTACAAGAAGAAAGACAAATCAAAAGAATGCTATTCCAAACACTATCAAATATGGTACAAAACTATCAGGTGTTTATATTTTTTTATGAAAAGCGAAATCATCATTATATTCACCCAATCAGCAAACAAGAGTTTTTAGGATTTATCCAATAGGGAAGCTACAAGTAGAGATTCTGGAATATTCTTCCACAAGATGATTACCAGTGGGCCGTCCTCACATACGCGATCTACTGAAATCAAATAAACATAACTTTGATTTATTCAACAGTATATGGTGTAAACAGATATAGACTTACAAGTTTGATCAGACACAACTGTGGCAATCCATGATTGGGGACTAGGCTAATGGTTGACTGGTTCTAAAAGTGTTTAGTGGCCCGATATCTGACTGCAGTTAGATCATATGCTAGATTGTTATCGATATATACATCCCAGTTACCCTTGTTTATAATCGTCTACTTAAATCGCCGGTGAACAACGGGATTAAATAAGTCAAATACGAGAATGGATTTCGAGTACGTGTATTTTATACAATCGTTGATCCAGACAAACGATCTAAGAAACGAAGCAAAGGAAAAAGAGATAGAGAAGCGAAATGACGCATAGTGGAGTAGGTGTGTGAGCAAACTCAATTTAGCCATGTCTGAATCAATATTTATAGTCGAACAAAAATAACTTACAGATATGTGATCAATAGGATAACATGTGCATACACAAATGTTCATATAAAAAAGTCACGATTAATAAGCGAATCACTAACATGATGAAAACATGAATCAATTTCCATATTGGCGGCCTGCTTGAGCATCTGGGCTACCTGTTCCTGCCATCTAGATATTTCAACAAGTTATCTATCTTTGTTTGTTTTAATATATCATTATGTCTATTAATCGCACAACCTATACTGCTGCGTTTCTGAAAAATGTACAACCTTTCGTTATTAAAGTTACAAAAAGCTCAAAAAGAGAGAATATGGTTGCTGGCAATGTACAACGAAAAGAATGTACATCATTCCCATGTTCATTTACTGGACTGATAACATCTAGCTGGCGACCACTCAGTATTTATCGCGAGGACCGACCAAGAAGAAAGAAACGGAAACTTGTTGAAATACTTTGTGCTGAGAATTCTATATTGTACCAATAATATAATATTGAATAAAGCTATTAATAATAATAATAATAAAGAAGAATGAATAAATTGGCTTGTCCGGAAGCCAGAATAAACTATGTGGGTATAACATTGCAACCGATACTACAAATGTTCAACATTCAACCAATAAATTTCAGGTTCACACCCAGATTTACCTACTTCTATTTGATCAACTGACTAACATCACGGCCCGTCATATCACAGCCTAATGTTGAGTACATTATTAATTAAAGAAGTTGGGTTGCATGACGGGAAACCAGTTGAAAGTTATCAAGTTCCAAATTCGTCATTTAATAATCTCATATTATTTCGAACTATATTCAAAATTTCGCTTGAATATAAATTCATATTTCCTCAGGTAGTAGAATGTAGGAAAGTGTACAAGACAAATAAAAAATCCTCGTTTATTAACAATGTAAAATCTTCTTGAGAATGTTGTGAAAATAATTTTTTAGAAAAAAATAATTGAAAAGTAATATATACAAATTGATGAACAGTTAAATGGCAAAGAACGACAAAATTGATATATAGATATATAGGTAGGGAAGAAAGAAGGAAGGGACTGTATTTGACTTCAAGTATATATTATTCCGAAAAGTACCAAGTATTAGGTTAAAGCAATGAAATACTTAGTACTGAGGTTTCAAACCACCTCTTTATCATAGGACATCAGGTTGAGATGATGATGAAGTATTTCAAGGTCATCAGTCTATAACCATACTCTTTCCTCCTTAAATTTACTCAAACCATAAAAGTTAAATGTTTCAAACTGGATCTTTGTATTCAAAAAGAAACAATGATGAGTTTTTATTTACTCTAGTAACATCATCCTTATCTTGTTACATCACTCTTATTTTAACTACATCATTTTAGTCGTACGAAACATGTTTTTCAGATTTCGGATGTTTTCTTCTGAGTAATTCCTATATTTGACTTTCTTGGTTTGATGTAAGAATAGACTCTTTCCATCCTTTCCATATACTTTAGGTGGAACATGAATTATACAGTGATCCGAGCTAGACAATGGTGCACGTTTACGAACCACATATATACCCACATCATTAATGAAAACAAAGTCTAAATGAGCAGCCAAACCAGTAGGAAAATCTACTAAATTTTGGTGACCTAGTAATGAAAAGAAGCTACAGTCACATGAATTGAAATCACCACATGCAACTGAAAGTTAGATGGAGAATCCTGGTGAGTGACCTATGGCTTCTCCATCAGCGGTAACAGGCGTAATTAAGTAAGCAATATTTGATTTTGTATAACATTGCCTTACACATTGTATTCATTTCGGACGTTTTTTTAAAAAAAATATTCAATCCTATTACATTTACTCGACTCTCATTCACTCCATTGTAATAATAAATATTCACATCTAACCATCAAGTTCACTAATTCCGTCTAGGCACCCGGGCAGTATCACAGTCCAGCCCACATCCAATATATAAAAAATGATAAATAATTAGATTTTATAGGTTTATTACTATTATGCTTAAGGCATAAACATATAGATTTTAAACAATTTTAAATTTTACCATACTATAAATGTTTGACATAATTAACTAATGTAAATACATATCAGTAGTGTAAACTTGTGAAAACGAGGAATTGCCTATGGTTACATTCATAAAACAACATGTAGTTAATTATACAATAATGAATTCTTTAATTATTCTACAATTATTATTATTATTATTGTCGTTATATACTACTGATGGTAAACTAAAAATATGCAATTTTGATATACCCAATATAAAAACTAATAAACCATGTAATATTGAACGTATAGAAAAAGCTGGTAGACGACATCAATTTTTATTATTTAATGCAAATGAAATCAATATTACATTTCATTTATTTTGTCCAATATGTCCAGATGAAAGATTAGATCTATTTGAATGGAATTATATACCACATTATAAAAAGTATATTATATTTATTAGATCTAATAAAACATTATATGAAAGTGATACTATGCTTAATAATAAATTATTAGAAAGAATTAAACAAGATCCATTCAATGATCTTTGTATTAGTAAATCTAATTTACAATTAATTGGACAAAATATTAATGCAAATAAATATTTAGGAACATATGTTTGTCAATATATAAAAGATAAAATGCATCCAGCTAATTTTATTTGGTATCATTTATATAGAATTGGTTCATTGAAACAAAATTCTAAATTAATAAACATATCAAATATACAACAAATACATATATTACATAATCAAATGAATATTACATTAAACAATATTACTGAATTAGCTAATTATCATTTACGTTTTATGACTATTATATTTAAAATAAATGACGAAAATGAAGTTAGAAAACATTGCGGTAAAATTAAATTCAATCAATATAGACGTTGTTATTTGAAAATACCACGATTTGAATCAGAACTAAAAGAAACTATCAAGAATGATGACAACAACAATAGCACCATCATCATCAACAACAACAATGGTAATGATTATGAAATGATGGAAATTAATAAAATATTAAGATTATCATTTGAATACTTTACACGATTATATGATTCTAAATTGAATGGTTCTAAACAATTAGCTATGAATAAAGCTAAACGTTTAGGATTTAAATTATACATTGATGATTATTTTATTCATATACCATGTGAATATGAATTATTACAGCATATATGGATACCAATAATAGATAAATTTTTACTTACTAGTAAACATATAGAAATTCATGATGAACTAATATGCGATCAAATTGATCCAATCATCAAATGGATCAATCTAAATAAACAAATATATCAAATGAATAAAACAAAAACTTTTCTCATTAAAACTATTCAACAGAATTCTTTTCATTTATCAATACAAAATCATCAATTGTTTAATGAATATCAACAAAATTTAATAGTGAAATATGATCCAAATAAAATGAAACAATTAAAATGTACAAATTTAATGAATTCTAATGTATCTTGGTTATTATCAAGTAATAACAATCATAATTATACAATAAACATAGAAAAAACAAACTTACCTTATATTATAAATAATTGTGATTTGAAATTTGGAATTCTTCTTAAAACTAATAATGGTACATATGATTGTTGTCATGGGAGAAATTCAACTTTTAATATGATGATGATTAATAAAGGAAATAACATCATTATTGGTGCAATTATTTTAACTGTATGGTTATTGATATCACTAATTATTTGGGTACTTTTTTTTGTTGTATAAACTATATGAACAAAAAATCAAGTTGAATTAGTACCACTTGAAACTGTACACAACAATAAATATATATTTTAATTGTTTATTTTTTTAAAATTTTTCACGAAATATCATCCAGATAGAAGTTGAGTAGTTTGTATGAAAGCATTTTTGAACAATTAAAGTTGACTAGTTGAATTCAACTACAATACAGCAGTAAATACTCATTATTAAAGACATCCATAATTATCTACTTGGAGATTCATTTGTTGAAGCAGATGATATAGTCCTATTTGAAGAAGACGTCTTCTGATTGCTTTAAACAGCAATGTCAGCATGCTTTCGGTGTTTCTCTCTCCAAATTCAAGAAGTCACCTTAAGTTTAGTCTACATCAATGCATGAACTAATAATAAAAAGTAAAGTAGTTGAGCTTGTCGGTGCCTTCATTTATTTGCGAAGTTTCATCAGTCCTGATGAGTTGATATCCAACGAAATCTCGGTATGGATTTAGTAAGTTTGACTGGCTCTTGTCAACTTGCGAGATATCCATCTGCCAACTAGAGGATGAGTATACTGAGCAACAGTTTATTCCGTCCTACTTTACGACTTTGAAACGTGGCCTTTAACATAGATGATATGCGCAGGTTACTAGAACTCGATCAAAAATGTCGTGTATTTTGGGACCACGGAGTTCGAAGTACTATACGTAGACGTAGAGCATTAGATAAAGATGACGAACCGATTGATGAGGTAGTAAGTGTTTATCGACACAATGTTAGGACATATATTACGTATGGCGACTCAGACTCGCGGTGACCGCCGATGTTGGAGTAAGTAGGAAGAAAGCTGTTTACGGGCAAACCAAGACATGGTATTAATCCATGGAGTCACTGACTGTTGGATCGAGTCATACAGGTTGGTGCAGACCACTTTGTTGGGCCCCATGAGATTATAGTAACCAGTGGTTGGAAGGTTCGCAAGACATTGCTCAGATTCGTTCGTAATGGCGCAAGTGGATTTGTTTTCTATTTTCCCACTTCTGAGGAAAGTGAGTATAGGACAGATATTTTGTCACAGTCCAGGAATCCCCTTGAGGGAATGAGACTGACTTTTCACTTAATTCAAGTATAAATCGAAACCAAGAAAGTTATTATCCCAGTAGACACACTTCGTTAGAACAGTTGACGCATATACTTAAAAAACTGTCTCACCCCGATGGAAGTGAATTTAAAATAATCACAGTCTTAGAAATCTTTGTGTGATGACCTCTGATATCTACTGGTCCTGACGTTAGAAATGCGAGAAAACTCACTCACAACTTAGTGATGCTGTTGATACATTAAGCTACTTAAAATAACCCTGCGACAACAAATTGTGAGTCCGACTACTATTGATTTGATCCTGTGAACTGTCCACTTTAACTGTTTGACTAAAGAATCTGTTATAAGAACACTAACCACATGTTCAGATACTTCCTTTTCCCCAACATCCAACGAGAAAATACGGCAAGAAGATATTAGTCCAAACGTCTGTATCTAAATGGATCGCTAACTCATAAATGTACAATCTAGAGATATGAACAGCTGAACGACAACGTACAATAACTAAAATAATACATTTCGGGTATAAAATTAGGATATTTAGCTCATGATTAGGTTACAATTATTTGAGAAGAAAAAGATATGCTGAATAAAATGAAAACTTGCGATTATGAAAAAATGGAAATCATATGAAATAACTGTTAATAATAACGCATAGAAATTAAGTATACTAATGCCACCCCCACAAATGCTTTTCATAGTTTGTCACTTTCATTACTCTTTTCATTAGAACAATTTGTGAGAAAATACTTTAAATAATATTTGGTAAAACAAACATCATTTTACAATCCTAAACTGCTAGGAAAAATAGAAATACAAAAAGTGAGCGAAGAGGGAGATGGTCGATGAACAAATAGTAAGTAATTTACAAACTAGATTTTAAGATCGTAAGAAAGTCGATTACTCCATTTCTTATTTTCACTGGTTAAAATAGACTCAGATACTGGAATGCTACCTTTACGAATGAACAAATTAGTAAGAAATAAATTGAAACGATATGAAAATGCATTACTACTGATATTAGCATCATGATAATTGATGATAGGATTGGAAAACAGTAAATAACTTAGATCTATATATGATTTAGACCTAGGTCTATTGTGCCAAATAGTGTGTAAAGGTCGTCTGAAATGCAGCGGTATATTTGAATCAAATAATAAATAATTTACTAATCGATACACAAATAATTGTTTGGCGAAATTGTATAGAAAAATATCTAGCCTATTTACATTTTGTATTTCACGCAAAGTAGACTGATTTAAATTGGAACGGATTATTGTAGCATGTGTAAACAATAATCTTTGTTTCATAAAAGATATTTTATTAAATTCAATAAATGAACGTTTAAAAGTAATATGTAAACATTTTTGTAATATGTATTGTGAATAAATTAAGTATTCAGTTAAACCATAACAACTGATAATACTGACAAGATTATGTTTAGCACTGTTTAAAAGAGCTAATGAAACTCGTGGAATATGGATTAATGCTGTGACATTGAGAGGTTGAGACCATTTCGTTAAATGTTTATAACATCCTAGACTAGAAAGGTTTGCTAACATTCTTGTTTGACGATTACTTGCTAAATTGTAAGGACAATCTATAACAGATTTAATGGATACATTAGACGGTATATTTTCGACAATTTCTTCATTAAAATAACATGGTTTATAGTGTTTAAGTGGTGGGTATTGTTTATTACATCGAAGAGTAGCTGCATGCCATGTAGCACCGCGACGTATATGTTGCCATTCACTAATAAAACGATCGACAGGATCACGTAACAAAGTAAAATATATGTACCTGAAAACAGAGATAAACAATTCTAGTGAATGCAATTTTCAGTTAATAGAACTTTAGGAAATAGACAGTAAAAACAGAAAATACGCGTTATTTAAAAAAAAGGTTGTTATAATGTAGTATCTGTTACTTCCAAACTGATGTAGCTGGGATTCTACATAACCTCCAGTCAAACATCACATACTCGTCCTTTTCTCACAGGTCAATTCAAAACACAGTGGTTAGGTCAAGTACGATAATTATCAGCTTGCACTACTTAATCTATAAATTTTCTAGCATCCATAATAGTTTCATTATACACAGATCATGGGATTCGGTTTTCTCCTGAGCGAGTTTTAAGCCTAATAAAAATCGACTATTTATAAAAATACAGTCTATGAGATGTCTTTGATATCTGGCTAGATAAATTGACAGTTCATCAACATAATGAAGAGAACGAATTACGAGTGTCGTATATGATTCGATGACAATAACTTGTGACACTGACTCTCCAGGCTTTTAACTATTTCCCACGTTGAAATGCAATTCATCTGAGACTTGAGTAAACATTCCTACATCGGGCGAACATAGTTGAATAAGATACCCAATTGCGAATTAGGATGATTTAGTCAGCGTTCTTTTCCCAATACACACATATTCGGTCTATAATTTTACATCCCAAACAGTTTCTAAAGCCCTGGTTAGTGCTACCGTGATATCTGTCACATCTTCCGACTCTTTAAGACTCATTTGAAGCGGCTGTCTTTTTTTAATGTCCTGGTGATTGTGCATAAATCAATTGTTCAGTAAGTAATACCTAGCCTAAACGTTTGTGTACTCCATAGCCCCTACGTCATTTCGATTTTGAATATTGCTGCAAATAATCAGCTAATTACGAAAAAATTCGAACTTTCCGGCTAGAGCATAATGTGAACAATTTTAGAATTGGTGGATAATGAGTAGAACGTACAAACGTGATGATAAGATTAATGATTTATCTAATAAATCGTTAGAGCATCTAATTTACACTAAAGGACATAATCTAGACCCACTTAAAATACTTTAGAGGCTATATTTTTCAAGTTATTATAAAACATAGCAAGAAATATTGAACATTGAGTAATAATAATAATAAATAAATAAATAAGAGTAAAATTGGCACAACTCTTACCTTCTTTGAATAATATGATGGTCCACTTTGTTTAGCTTGCTGTCAATACATTCCGTTAATTCAGTTAAGTCAGCATGAAGTCCACATACCCAGCCTGTAGAATATCTGCTGACAAGCCAAGTATCACCACTTGGCGTTTTACAATTACAGCGTCTTCTGAAAAAACAGTAACATGTTTTGCCCACTAAACCATCTTTAACTAAACGACGTTCTAGAAGTGTACCGGCAGTTTTCTGAATATGGATGAAGACGAGCACAGACACATTACTTGAATTATCTCTCGTATATGTCATCAAATGCTTAGTTGTTTTTGTAGTTGGAACAGCATACAGAAAACCTGTACGGTCATTCTGATTATGGATACAGCTTCTTAGTAAACATGTCGGACTATACGGCGACAATACATAAAATAGCAATACGATCCCGACGATTAGTCCACAGATGCAAAATAACTTATCTTCCTTCATGTATGAATCACATAAATGATCTGATGAAGATCAGACGTAAATTACGGATCACCACACGGAATTTAAAACTGAGCTTCAGAAATCCACCCTGGCATGATTTGAAATTCTATAAAGCCACCATTTTCAAACAAACGGATTTTCTGCAAAATCTAAAGCACAAAACACAAGTGATTCATTCAACAAAATAACTATGGCATGTATTGTCAAACAGCAGACGAGTAATACCTTTCACTTTAAACGAACACCGAAGTTTTCAGTATGTAGAACGTGGATTTAGCCTATGAAATCCAGATACCAAGTTCATGCGTTTTTCTGGATTTGAGCATGTTTACTGAGACTACATGAGTTAGTCACCTGATACAGGTTAAGTAGTATCGAAATCCGTGGTATTGTTTACTGATTGAGTGTTCAAATCAACACATATGTAAACATACCACACTTATGAATATCCATATATGACTGCGAAACACGTTATTCTTTGCAGATAATCACCAAGTCCACAAATTGTTACTTGATATGCTTACCCATTATCACACGTACAAATGTTTCAAGTTCAGACGTGCCAGTTATAGTATATGTTATACGATGTGTACAGCTTATTGGAAAAAGATTAGAATAAAGCCTGGATATGATGGTAAGGTAGACTGTCTTTTCAGAAATGCTATCATATTCAGACAAAAATGTGAGCAATATTTGAAACAAATAAAGGTATTTTCCCATCTGATTTCGTATTTGGCTTTTACTTGGGTTATATGCTTGTGCAACAGACAATAGCGCAGAATCACAAACAGTATACTTGCACGACTATATGCTAGCATCTAGTGAGAAGCCAAGCTGCGACAATGCAAACATATGTAATACCCAACCCGATCAGATAGTTATAGCTATATAATAGTATTGCTTTAGAAGTACTCCCCCAAGCTCCCAAGTTTGGGGAATTTTGGGAAAATCCCCAAAATCAAATGACATTGATCAAGATTAAAGGGGAATTCTGGGGTTTTTGTGCCAATTCCCCAAAGTTCACTATAGCGGCTTCCCCAAAATTGGGTGCTCGGGCCTGAGGGGATTTATATAAATTACCTGAAAACCTAAACATGTCATGTTTAACGTCTAGTCTGAAGTTACGTTTTGTGTTAAGGGAAAGTGTGATAAAATCTGGAAGAGAAAGGAGCAAACTAAAAACTGAGCCGACTCGAGTCGGCTGATCAGTAAATACATAGATTCCGCTTAGATCTAAAAACGATAGCGACCAACAGCGATTAGAAACAACATTGAGGTAGGATCAATACGACCTGAAAATCGGAAATGAGAGCTAGTCGAGTTCGACCACCGCATGTGTACCATATGAATCAAAAACATATTTTGAGAAGTACGGTAGAAACCTGTGACAAGAGTCAACCAAAATCACAAATCTTTTTTTAAGTGTCTTGTGAGAGTAATGGATGAAGTGTTACGCAATAACAATACAGAGGAAGAAATTAGAAACCACAAAACAAATGAGAGCGCGAAAACACCGTACTTTTTGGATCATCATACAGTCCTTAAAACATTCAATAAACAATATCCTTTGTACTTATGTCGAGCTAACATAAACTAAATGACTGTTTTGTACTCACTTCTTGTTGCTGTAGTACAATTACAGGTGTTCAGTAGGGTGCTTCATCCACCTATCTGTATTGAATCTAGTGAGTTTGATCATTATTTGTGGGTCTGTGCATCGTGAAGTATGAGTGTTTGGAGAGGGGATATACCGCATGTCATATGTAAACGACCAGTCATGTCATGCATCTTCCTATCTATTTATTGGTTGGATAAGACATCTCATAGGGTTGTATTTGATATGGTTATTAATTTTTCCCATGGAATTACATTATATGACAGCTTTTTAATGCCATATGTCCGGCCGTGTTGCCCTGCATTCCTGAAGCTACCTTGTGCTATAATGAATCAATTGGTGATAGACCGGAAAAGCTAAACACAGTAACTTTTAGGTAAATCTCATGTCTTTAAAGTTGTTTAAAAGGTTCCAACGCCCTCTAGTTCATTCTGTTGTTTTGATTGAAACTTCCGGATCAAAACTGTTGTTTCCACTTTAATTGAATTTGTTAAAATTAAAAAATTCGTCAAGAGTGTCGTTTTTCTCAAAAGTAATTTACCATCGGAACTTTTGAGTTTATTGGTTCTTTTGTATTTATTTGCACTTTTCTATGTCGAACAATCTGCAATTTCGCACTTTTTCCCAGTCATCAGTTTCTTTCGTCTACGGGTATTGTTTTTGTTTTGTTTCCCTTTGAAAACTTCTGACTGATGAATGGACAATGCGAAAAAAGAAATTTACAATGCTCAGGTTGTCGATACCCCATGGAAAGTGGCGTACGGTGAGGTAGTACAATTTTTGCTAATACGAACTACTTAGCAAAAGTAGTTGCATGTGGTTGTGTCAGCAATGCTGCTCGGTCGCAAACCGGTTGCTATCCGAAGCCATTGAATTAGTGAATGCTGCCAGAAGGAGTATAAGCAGGTATATTTGAGACATTATCCGCTCGGTCGATGTACAAATTGATGTGAATTTACCCCAAATAAGCTCAGAGTCGATTGACTTACATGGGTGAAAAGAAGAAGGACGGCCTATGAAGAGGTCTGTTGGGAACAAAAACTCAAGAGAGGAAGTTTTCTCTGTGTCCCGCCCTCCAAATGGCAGCGGGCAGAAAACACCTAGCAAGCCTAACCACAAGGTTGCGTGTGCTTCTAGCAGAGGAAACAAAGACTTGACCACCCAAGTCATTGAAAACCATCCAAAATCCCACACTGTGAAACGAAACTGCGCTTGCTACCCCAGCAACAGTTGATGAATACGCACATATCAAGAATATGAAGCTACCTGGTGTTACCAAAGATAAACCAGTTCCTCCAGATTTGCTGACAAATCAGAGACTGATGGTAATGACAGGTCAGTTGTCTTTCATGAAGCCAAGTAGAGTGAGAACTCAGAACCAAAAACTCGTTTTGAACATGAAATCTAATTGATAAAACTGCTACCAAACCAGCTAATGCCTCAAGATATAGCCGAAGCCACCTTTCCACAAAGTTATAGACCAGGTAGCCAAATGGGTTTTAAACAAGATCAAACCAGGCTGCTCAATGTAGCATTTAATTCTCCTAATGAGAGGGACCTAATACTATATAATAGGCACAATCTGAAAGGGTTTGGAGATTTTGTCCGCAAAGACTTGCTGCTCGCGGAGCGTATAAATAGACGAGAAGCTGAAGAAGAACCAAAACTTCGGTTAGATAATGACGAAAAGGACCTGAAAATTGTAAATTTTCGTGTGGTGAGCCTTCAACATAGCATGATACCAAAGCCATTTAAATGGTCTTCAGATCTGTCACATGGATGCCTTGAGCTTGCTCAACTAGGTGTTCAGATAGACCTACCTAGCCGGATGTAATCACCTTCACAGAAACGTGCCTGACGCATACTGTAGACTGTATGGAACCTGATTTTGATAGTTTCACGTTCGTAAGAGCCAGCAGAATCCAGAAAGTTAAAGAGTAGCTCTGTTCATTAGAAATACTATCCTGTTTAACCTTATTGATAACGTATCCCATCAAAGTAGGACGTGTGAATTAGTCACCGTTTGAAATACGGGGAAAAGAGCTGCTGATTGGTTTGGTCTGCAGCAGTTCAAATAGTGGGGTGAATTAGGCCTTGTTAGACAACCTCAACACTTGGTCATCAGTTGGTTGATGTTTAATTTTAGGAGATTTTAATACACCTATATTAGACTGGAGTAATCTAAGAATAAATTTGTCAGATAATTCCTCCGAACAGAAACTCGTTGATACGGTTACCACATCTGCCCTAGTGCAACTTTTGACAGAAGCAACTAGGTACAAATCGGACTCAAATAATCTCTTTTAGATTCTATATCGACCCATTATGAGGATTACGTCACGAACTCCGATTATATACCACCCTTAGATAAAAGTGGCCGTGCCAGACTTCAATTTCCATATAGTTCTTAATAATCAGTATGTGTCAGCCTAAGTCAAACCAAATGTCTGGAAATCAAGTATGCAACATACCAAACACTCAGTATCATCAGTAGTTTGGACAGCAGAGCCTTATACCCCGAATGAAACGGCTTGGTATGCATTCCGAAATATGTACACCAACATCACTGTGTAGTGGCATTGAGCCATAACCACACAACCCCCGAAGCTAAATACGAGACAACTGGGAAAATAGATATTCAATATTTAACGCGGAGAAAAACCCAACGATAGAGAAGGCGTGAACAATGAGTTGAATTAATTCGAATTGATCGGATGGCATGGCTCAGCCTGGCAGGCGTGGTTATCCTTGAATGTTATTATATACCTTTTATCCATATTAAATGTGTTGTTTTATCTCTCGCCTAAGTGTGTTCTTCATCATATATTGATGATTGTTACGGTACGATGAGTTGGTGTGGATAATAATGAGACTTTCACCTAAGATCTTATAGATTAGGCAGTTACATCATGTCAAACCTACAATTTTAGGATTAAGTCCATTATTAGAGGAGTAATAATATCATAGTAGACTATAGATCTACAACTGTACTGGGCATCCCCTGGGCTATTCCAAGGGGTCCGAAGAACTGCCAGTTGTGGTCCAGTAGGGAGTTTCACACCCTTCCTCGTTAAGGGAGAACAATATGGGGAGATTTAGGTTATTGGGTAGTGATGAGATAAATCCCAACTCATGGAAGCTCGATAGACGTGGGCCTAGACCCTCCTCAAGTCTAGAAGTTTGTATGGAGAAAGACTTGATAAGGAATCGATAGAATGCCTTTAACGCTTATATTAGTACATAAACCAAAGGACTAAGAGAAGAGGAAACATTCGAGCACTATGGAGAGACAGTAGTGTTTCATGACTAGTGGAGGACGACTATGGAAAGACTCAGGTGTTTTCAAACTACTTTGGTGGTGTATACACTGCAGAGACCCCCTTTCCTTCAGTTCATACAAGCCTCCACACACACACACACACACACACTGACCCTTAAAGAATTCAACATGTTTGGCGTGCGAAGTAAACTCGATACAGGTAAATCCATGGAACCCGTCGAAATACATCTTGTGTTAATAAAGGAACTAGCAAGT